GCTATAAGCTTTTTATCATCCTCATCATTGTTGATTGTACTTAAATTTTAACATTTTATCATACCTTTTTAGGGCATTTTCTAGTGAATATTTGCTTGTTCTTTAAGAATTTATGGCATAAATACATTTAACTACTTAAATATTCGATGTGTGCATAAAAATATGGAAAAAAAAAGAGGAAAAATGCTATTTTGGACTCCTTTTAAATGCAATTTGGTGTTAAAATTCACCATTGGGCCAAACTTGTATGAAGCTTGTGCAATTACCATTTTTGGGAGATTTTTCCTAATTTTACTTTGTTACTTCCTTCGCATATTTAAGCTTAATTAAACTTTAATTCAATTTTTTTCCTCATATTTTTCTTGTTTAATTATCCATTTTAGCTCATTTAAGTGTTTGCCACCATTGTAGTAAAATTGCATAAGCTAATTAGGAGGAAAAGTAATAGGAGCTATTTTGGAGCAACCATTTAAGTTAGAAGTTTATGAAAATTTTCATGGCTAATTTGGTAATTAAAAGGCTTCTATTGGCTGGAATTTCATGAACAAATGGTGCTATAATTGGCACCTAAATTTGAAGACAATGAAGCACTCCTAGCCATTGGATGTGATTACTATTTTTTATAATGCCTGCAAGTGCAAAGATTATAATCAAGTAATAAAGTGAGTAATCAAGTAATGAGTAAGTAGAATATCATTCCCATAAGGATTACATAATTGAATTGTTAGGTGATAATCAAGTACCAAAGGTGATGAACTACTATCTTATATCTAAACTGATGAAAAGATTGGTTTAAAAGCAATTGAAAACAATGAAAAAAAAGATTGTGTAGGCCTAAATCTACTTATCCAACTGTTACTTGGAAAGTATTAGATTATGGCTGAATAGATCTATAACTAAAATAACTTAAAGCTTTGAGAGAAAAGAAAGATTAATGAAGGTAAAAAGTTGGAAAAGCATAAAAGAAAGAATGGAAAGAAATTACATTAAATCAAAAATTAGAATGAAAGAATGTAATATGGCTAAAACTATAAGAACAATAAAACAACTTGAACACCAAAATTTGTAAAGAAAGCTTTAAGAAAACTAGATATTGAATGAAAGAATGCATATATTAAGAAAAGATATAATTTAGATAATAGTTTAGTTATAGCCAATCTATCATCTTAGCCAAACTACAAAAGAAAACTTAAAGAAACTAAAAGCTAAGAAAGGCCAAAAAGAGAAAAAAAAAGATGTGTAGAATGGGACGTTGAATACAAGATAGAGCCTCCCTATTTGTAATAATGGGTTTGGCTATGGGGGAATTTGGATTACGAGAGTTCTTTTCCTATCCAAATGATAACTTTATAAAATATAGTTATTTAGACTTGTTTTAATGCTTAAATGATTGAGTTTTGCTTGGTTTTTAGAAAAATAATGTTCTTTTAACTCCTAAATGGTTGAATTTTCTACTTTGTAGGAATTTTTGAAGAAAGAATGAATCTTGGTAAATCTTAAAGATTACTGGTGTTTCTTGATTAATCTTGGATGATTATTGATGCATAATATGGATTCTTGGAATGTTCTTATGATGTTCTTGGAAGTTCTTGGAAATCTTGGAGTTAAAGAATGGGAAAGATGTTCAAGATTGGTTTTATGGAGTTTTTGCGAGTTAAATTTATGCAATCTTGAAGAAAAATGAAAAAAATTCATGCAAGATTCAAGTTAGTAATTTCAATAATAAATGAAGGCAAAATTGTAATTTCAAGTGAATGCAAGTCTATGGTAACTTGTGTAGGTGCACATGCATGGGATTACAAATGGATGATGGCATGATGAGGTGGCAATTCTATTTACTTCTACTATTTGGATTTGGATTTCCTATTCTTAATAGGATTTCTTATTCCTAATTCTTCTTAGAGAGTTGGATTTGCATGAAGTTATAAAAGTAACATAGGATGGGCGGCATTAAGGAAAAAATCTACATGAAATAAAGCTCTAATTTTCTCCAAGATTTAATACAAAATGGTATACTATAGGAAGAATTCAAGATTCAAGCAATTTGAAGCAACTTTTTAAAAGGTTAATACACCTTGGCCTAATGTCATTTCTTTTATATGCAAGATTCAGTTTTAGCTTTGTTTCTTTATTCTTTAAGTTGCTACATGTTGATTATGATGTAGAAGATAAGAATGGTTTATAAGCTTCCTTTTAGAAGAGTTTTACTTGTACTTAACTACAAGAAGCATTCTAGGATTCAAGAAACCAAGTTCAATCGAAACACATTGGCTGTACTTGGAAATCTTTCTTAGCTGAACACTTTAAGGTTTTCTTGTCTTATAAATACATCTTTTAGGTTTAGAAAAAGGGGGTACAAGTGTACAAGGGTTGGGCTGAAAGATCAACTTGTTAGCTTTCTTATTTTAAGTTTAGCTTTCTTGTTTTAAGTTTTCTTTAAAGTTTTCTTGCTTTTAACTTTCGGTTTTAGCTTTCTTTATGCTTTCAATTTTTTGTTTTATGTAAGTTTAGTTTATGTACATTCTTTTTTAGTTTTCAAGCAATTAAATTCAGTTTTGAAGTTTTTTTTATTTAGTTTTTATTGTAATTGGGTTGATTTTGGGATTTTTGCAAATTGGTTTTAAATCTTGATGCTTACAAGTTGCGGTTTTGATTAGTTCTTATTTAGAGTCATTCGGTTCTTATTTTGTTTTGATTCTATTATCCAATCACAAGTTTAATTCATGTTTAAAGCTTTTCTGAATTCAGGTTAGATTTAATTTTGGTTTTTGCATATATTTCATGCTTTGTAGGTTTAGGGTTTAATTAGATTTAATTGCATTAGTTCTTGCATATTCAATTCGATTTTTGTACTTAATTGTTTAAATCAGTTTCTATTTTTGTTTCTAGGGTAATAATTAGTTAAAATCACACATTTGTAATCTTTGTTCAATTTGGTTTAGGGTTGTTGAATTATGGTTTACATGAATTGCATAGTATTTGGGGTTGCTAGTTTTGATTTATGCATATTGAGTTAATCTAGTTTCAGTTGTGATTATTTTTTATTGAATTGCATGTTACTTGGTTAATTTAAGTTTATTGCATAATTTTAAAGCTAAGTAAGGTTTCGGTTTAATTAGGTTTTGTTGAATTGCATGATTTGCATGTTAATTAAATTAGGTTTTACATTTGATTTTGATATTTATTGATCTATATAGTTTGTTTCTTGTTCTTTAGTTTAATATTGCATGTTTAATTGTTTAATTGAATTCGGTTTAAGTGATTTAGGGTTTATTTAGTTGTTTTTTGATTATTTGCATGTTAAATTAGTTTCAATTACTTTCAATTTATCTAATTCATGTTTATTTGATTTTGATTTCATTATATTTGGATTAGTTAGTTTTGGTTTTAGCTATTTTTGGTTATTTAAATCTTGTTTAGTTTATTTTAGTTTGGTTGATATTAGTTTGCATGTCTTAGATTTAATTTGATTAGTTTATAATATATCTTGATTTGTTTTGTCTAAGTATAGGTTTGGGCAACACAATTTTGGAATTTGTTCTCCCCATGTTATAGGATCCTCGTGGGAATAATACTTTTCTCACTCTCTATTGCTTGTGCTAACTTTGTACATTTGTAGATTGCTAAAAAGTTTTTAGTGCCATTGCCAGGGATTGTTTTGAATAGTGGAATATCAATACTAATCAATCTACTTGTAGCTTATATTTTATTTTTCTTGTTTTTAATTTGTTTGGTTTTTCTTGTTTTGTATGCCAAGAACTAAGAGTTTTAGTTTAGTACCCTTAGATAAGGAGATTGAGAAAACACTTAAAAAGATAAAAAAAAAAAAAGGGTAAAAAGCAAACAACTCTTGTTCCACCTATGGCTAATCAATTCCAAGAAATTCAAAAAACACTTAGAGACTATGTTGTCCTTCAACTAGATGGTATTCAACCAAGCATTAGTAGGTTGGCCATCCAGGCCAACAATTTTGAATTGAATCCATCAATTATTAACATAATTTAGAGCTTTATTTAGTTTTATGGGTTATCTAGTGATGACCCCAATCTTTATCTTACTAATTTCCTTGAGATTTGTGATACTTTTAAACAAAATAATGTTACTATGATGCCATTAGACTAAAAATGTTTCCTTTTTCTCTTAGGGATAAAGCCAAGACTTGGCTTGTCTCTTTACCTCTTGGTTTGATTACAACTTGGGATGGCCTAGTTCAAAAATTCTTGGCTCATTTCTTTCATTTATCTAAGCTAGCCAAAATACACAGTGACATTACATCTTAAGCAATTTGAGGCTAATCTTTGTTTGATGCATGGAAGAGGTACAATGAGTTTTTAAGGAGGTGCCTTCACCTTGGTTTGCCCCAATGGTTGCATGTTCAAATCTTTCATAATGGGCTATTGAGGCAAGCTAGGACTACCATAGATGCTACTGTTGGTGGGGCTTTAATGAGCAAGTCTATTGATGAGGCATATGATTTGATTGAAAAAATGGCCATGAATAATTATGAGTGGACGAATGAGAGGTTTGTGCTGAAGAAAACTGCTAGGATATATGAACTTGATGCACTTAATGCTTTTACTTTTCAAGTGTCAGCCTTTGTAAAACAGATTCAGAACTTAGGATCTAACTCTTTTCCTAGCCCTATTAATGTCATTTGAAGTCCTTTTATTTCTTCTAATAATTGTGTGAAGAACCATACTTTAAATAGGTTTTTTGTTAAAATAGAGACATTCCATTATGTTTCTTAACCCAGGCAATAATTCATCCTATACTCTAATACCTACAATCTAAGGTGGGAGCAACATCCTAACTTTTTATGGGGTAATAACCAGAGGCAAGCTTTTAATTCTTATAAGAGACTTGTTAACCCACCTATTTTCCAACCACCATCACCATAACAATACCATCCACCTCTACCACCCTAGGAAAAGAAACCATTTTTAGAAGAAAAGTTCACTCCGATCTTGCAAAACCAAACAGCCTCTATCATGAATCTAGAAATGCAAGTGGGCCAAATAGCCAATGCCCTTAATAATTGCCTCCTAGGAAACCTACCTAGCATTACTAAGTCTAACCTTATGAGGGATGGAAAAGAGCATTGCAAGTTTATAGCCCTTAGGAGTAGGAAAACCCTTAATGTTGAAATTGTCAAACCCACTCCTAATGTATTCCTCAAGAAACCATTGGTGGAAGTAATTGATGAGAAAAAGTAGAAAAAGGAAAGGAAGCCAAAAAGTCATTGGCCAAGCAAGACTTAGCCAAAACTTCCTCTAAGCCAAAGACTAAGGTATTTTGGCCACCAATTCCTTTTCCTCAAAAGTTTCACAATCAAAAAGAGGATAAGCAATTTGAGAAGTTTAGGGAAGTTTTTAAGAGTCTCCAAATCACAATTCCTTTTACTAACACTGTTGAGCAAATGTCAACTATGCAAAGTTTATGAAAGACGTTCTCTCAAAGAAATAAAGGTTGAAGGGTTGTGATAGCATTGTACTCACTGAAGAGAGTAGCATTATTTTGCAAAGAAGCTTACCACTTAAGCTTAAAGATCCAAGGAGTTTTACTATTCGTTGCACTATTACCAACCTTTATATTGGTAAAGCTCTTTATGATCTTAGTGCAAGTATTAATTTAATGCCTCTATCTCTTTTTAGGATACTTGGATTAGGTGATACAAAGCCTACTTCAATAACCATTCAACTTGCTAATAGGTCTCTTAAGCACCCAAAAAGAGTCATTGAGGATGTTTTTGTGAAAGTAGGTAGACTTATCTTTCCAGTAGATTTTGTGGTATTGTATATGATGGAAAATAAAGAGGTTCCAATTATATTGGGTAGACCTTTTCTAGCTATTAGAAAAGGCACTCATTGATATCCAAAAATGAAAACTTTCTATGAGGGTGGAACATCAAGAAGTTACCTTTAATATGTTCAAGTCAATTAAATACCCAATGATAGCATGAAATTATATAAAGATTTTACTGTAAAAAAGTGCTAAAAATTTAGTTTTTGGATTTTTTTGTTGCTTTTCATGTTATTTTCATGGCTATAGGTTTTTCAAGCTAAAGATGCATTTTCATGCAAGCCATGCATGTAATCATGCAAATCTCACATTTGACCCACTTAGTCATGCACTCATGCACATTGCCGCCTACATTTGGTCTATATTCAAGCATGCACAAGCCTAATTGGATCCCAATCCATTCGGCTAAAGTGAATTTGCAAGATAAACTTGTTTTTTTTGCTTAGCCATGAAGAGTTTCACTCCATTAAGAACATTAACCCATTCGGGCACTTTAAAAATCAAACGAGGATAATCTAAGCTCCCATGGATACTACACTATTCAACTAAGGAGAGTTCAAAGCCAATCATGATACTTTTTCTTAGCTTTAAAGAGTTTGGATTGGAGGAGGACTCTATCACCTTGGATATTAGGAGTTTGAATAAAATGCAACTTATGTCCTCTTGAAATCTTATCTTATATGAACATAGGAGGAAAGATTGATTAAGATTGCACCACATGAAGATTAAGGGCCAAGATCATCACATTCGGCCAATGCATTCCAAGAGTAAAGAGTTTGATTTTGGTATGCAACCTTGAAGATTAAGGTAGAGCTTTATCTCTTGGTTTTTTAATGAAACTCAATCACTTGTAAAGCCTACCCTTTTGGCCAAACCTATGCTTATAAATAGGCAAGACCATTCACTTGTTTCATTATCCCATCTCATCCCACTTCTCCTCTCTCTGTAGTTTATTTATTTTTTAGTTCCTTATTTCTTTTTAATAATAGGCTTAGGTGATAGATTTGCCAATTACTATGCTTTTGTTCTTTAATTCTTTTTCAATCAAGAAGTATTTTTATTCAAATATCTCTTTTCTTGTTTTCTTGTTTACAAAATCTTGTTCTTGTTTCTTTAAATTTTAGAACAAGCATTCCATTTAAATTTCAAGATCCAAGTTCTTTGTTTCCTTTACAAGTTCAACGTACTCTCTTCTTACTTGTTATTTAATTTCTTTCACGCAATCTTCATTCACTCTAAAGGCAAATTGGTAATCTTGATTTCTTGTTTTATAATCCTTCCTTATTGTTTTAATTAGTCTCTGGTTGTAGTCTTGTACTTCCTAAGTAATAGTTGGTGAGGTCAAAATCCTTGCTATGCATCACCTTTAATCTTTAAGTGATCCATGTCTACTTAAACCTTGTAACCCTAAAGCCCTACAAATTCATTTGCTTAGATTTTATGATCATAGCCTTTCACCTTTGGTACTTGTGAACTACCAATCATTACATTCTATAATCGTTAAGGAGATTATACTTGGAAAACTCCACTTTATTACTTGATCTATGTGCTTGCAAGCTTTATATAAAAAGCAACAATCAAGTTTTTGGCACTGTTGCTAAGGATTATAATAGTGTTCGCAATATCAATATAGAATTTCTAAGCTCCTATAATCTAAACTTTTTATTTATTTATTTTTCTTCTACTTTTCTCTAATCTATTCCTGTTTGCATGCACAAATCTAAAAGTGTTGACTTACCTCCAATTGATGAACAGATAGAAAGAACCTTTAGAAGATGACAAAAAGAGTAATCAACACCACTGGCACCTATTCCTATGGTGAATGCAAATAATGAAGGGCAAAAAACTGTGAGGGACTATGCAGTTCCCAATGCAGATGGTTTTCAACCATCCATTAGAAGGCTAGCTATTCAAGCTAATAACTTTGAGATAAAGCCTTTGATTGTGCAAATGGTCCAAACTTGTAGTTTGGAGGACTACCAAATGATGATCCAAATCTTCATTTTTTTGATTTTCTTGAACTCTGTGATATTTTTTGTTACAATGGTGTTTTTGATGAGGCTATTAGACTAATAATATTTCCTTTTCTCTTAGGGACAAAGTAAAATGTTGGTTGTCTTCTTTATTACTAGGCTCAATTACAACATGGGATGATTTAGTTTAGAAATTTTTATAAAGTTTTTTCGACCAGCAATGATTGCAAAACTAAGGAATGAAATCACCACTTTCTATAGACTGATGGTGAAACTTTATATGATGGATGGGAGAGATTTGAAGAATTACTTAAAAAATGCCCACATCATGGTTTACCTTAATGGCTCTAAATTTAGATATTTTACAATGGTCTCACACTATCCATGAGAACCACCTTAGATTTAGCTACTAGAGGGGTTAGAATGAGCAAGACTCTTGAGGAGGCTAATTAGCTTATAGAATAGATGGCTTTTAATAATTACCAATGGGGCATGGAAAGAAAGGTCAGTAAAAAATTTGTTGCTTTATTTGAAGTTTATGCTATTATTTCCATTAACTATCAATTGGCTGCCTTTACAAAAAAGATTGAAGCTTAAGGAAACCAATCACAATCCAACCATGTTAATGCCATACAAAGCCCCTTTATATCCTATGACATATACGAAAAACCCAATGAAACTATCCAATTCATTCAACATCATAACCTACCCATTCTTCAAACCACAGCACATTAACAATCTACCCTTCAAGACCAAGCTAAGTCCATCAAAAATATAGAATCTCAAATTACCATACTGGTTGAAAATCTCCAAAAACAATAAGATGAGGTAATAGCTATAACCTTGAGGAGTGGAAAAACTCTAATAGATGCATAACCTATTTCAAAAGAGGTCTCCAAAGCACTAAAGGTACATATTAAAATTGACAAATAGACCTCAGATACTTTCATAAGATCGAAAGATCCAAAAATTCCATTTTCTCAAAGGTTTCAGCATCATAAAGAGGAAAAGCAATTTGTAAGATTTGCTAAAATCTTCAAGAATTTGCAAGTCACCATTCCTTTTCTTGAAGCCATAGATTATATGCCTAAATATGCCAAGTTCTTGAAGGGAATTTTATTAAAAAAGAGAAATTAAGGAAATCATAAGATAATGGTAATGGCCTAAGAAAGTAATTTTAGTATACAAGAAAGGATCCCACCAAAACTAAATGATCTAGGGAGTATTACCATTCCTTGCATTATTGGTAATCAATATTTTGAAAAAGCTTTATGTGATATTGGTTGTAGTATTAATGTAATGCCTATATCTATTTTTAGGAAATTAGAGGAAGGAAAGCTTGAACTAATAATAACCACAATCCAATTGGTTGATCGATCTATTAGACACCTTGAAGAAGTAGCTGAAAACTTAATGATACAAGTAAGCAGGCTAGTGTTCATGGCAAATTTCATGATCCTAAAAATTGACAAAAAAGTCAAGGTGCTAGTGATATTGGGAAGGCCTTTCTTAAGGACAGGGAAAGCCATAATTGACATGCAAAATGGGGAACTAACAATAAACATTTATGATCAGAAAAAAAATTCCACATGAAGGGATACAAAGAGGATCAAAAAATAGTTGGAGTCATAACCACCAATGTAGTAATTAAATATAAGGTAAACACAAACATCAAACCATCCATTTGAAAAACCATAAAATGTAAAATTGAAGCCTTTGTCACCCCACTTGAAGTATGCATCTTGGGTAAAGCCTCCACTCTCTTAGTTGTCATCTTATTAGTTCTGAGAAAAAAATAAAAAGCAAGATTGCTTGATGTGTTAAAGAAGCATTCAAAGACATTTGCTTAGACAATAACGAGCATCAAAGGAATTAGCCCCATAATATGCATACATAAAATCCACTTAGAAAATGAGCAAAAGGGAACAATTGAACAACAAAATCATCCAAACCTTGCCATGAAAGAGGTGGTAAAAAAAGAAGTCATCAAATGGCTAAATGCTGGAATTATCTACCTAATCTCAGATAGCTTATAGGTAAGTCTAGTATAGTGTGTACCCAAGAAGAAAGGCATGACAGTGGTAACCAATGAGGATAACAAATTGATCCTTATTTGAATAGTATGGAAGGTCTACATGGACTATAGAAAGATAAAAAAAGCCACTCACAAGGGTTATTTTCCTTTGCCATTTATAGATCAAATGCTTGATAAGTTGATAAGACATGAGTATTATTGCCTACTTAATGGATATGTTTGGTATAATCAAATGCTCATCACCTCATAAGATTAAGAGAAAACCACTTTCACATGTCCCTATGGCACTTTTGCTTTTAAAAGAATGCCTTTTGGGCTATGCAATGCCCTTGCAACATTCTGGTGGTATACGATGGCAATCTTTTTAGACATGGTGGAAGAAATCCTAGAGGTATTTGTGGGTTTTTTGGTTTTTGGTGATAACTTCGAATTATGTCTGGCTAACTTGTCTAAGGTACTCCAAAGATGTAAAGAAACCAACCTAATACTAAACTAGGAGCAATGCCATTTCATGGTTCAATAAGAGGTCATACTTGGACATAAGGTATTTGTAAAAGGTATAAAAGTGGATCGAGCCAAAGTAGATGTGATTGAAAGACTCCTTTAGCCAATTTCAGTAAAAAAAATTAGGAGTTTTCTTGGGCATGTTGGCTTCTATAGAAGATTCATCCTGACTTTTCCAAAATCTCTAAGCCATTATGCAAATTGTTTGAAAAAGATGTCAAGTTTGAGTTTACCCTTAACTGTGCTATAGCATTCCAATTTTTGAAAGATAAGTTAATCATTGCACCTATTTTTTCATGGCCTAATTGGACTTAACTCTTTGAATTGATGTGTCATGCTAGTGATTTTGCAATAAAAGTTGTATTAAAGCAACAAAAAGATAAGGTCTTCCACCTTATTAACTATGCAAGTAAGAGTTTTAATGATACATAACTCAATTATGCAACAATTGAAAAAGAATTACTTCTAGTGGTCTTTACACTTGAAAAGTTCAAGCCCTATTTGATGGCCACCAAGGTGGTTGTGTACGTAGATCATGCTGCCATCAAGTATTTGAT